AAGCCCTGCGTCTAATCGTTGCAGTTATCCATGTCACGTGAGGATGAGTCAGAGCCTTCAGCCTGAAGTCTTCATTGGAGCAGGCAGTTACTTAACATTAAACTATTAACAGAAATATTCCTCCTGTTGTCTGCTTGCACGAGGCAGATAGCAGCCGCACAGCAAGAGTTTCCATTGCCAGTCCGCTCGGCGAGAGTTTATGTCACCGCTTTGTCCAAGTCAGTTGTGGCAGAGAACAGGCGGCCACATCTCCTGCAAACGCTAAGGTGGAAAAGGGGAGAGTAGCAGCAGGAGCAGAAATCCTTCCCGCTGCCCGTCGCGGGGGACGGGATCTGTCGGCGTGGCTTGGGGAGGAGGTTGGAGAGGAGCCCACCCGCTCCCCGGTGCGAGGGGCTCTCCCGCGGCAGCCCTGGGTCGCCCGAGCGTGGGCCATGCAGAGACATCCTGCAAAAACATCGTAAAAGAAACGACCGAAGAAAATCAGCCTCAGGATGCAGTGGGTTTGCCTGTCCCTAGCAGGAGCATGATAGTTAACAACGAAGGATTTGGGGTGGGGGGCTGACTCTGCCCTTTTAGGAGGTTTGCTCTCCACTCCAATTAGTCCTGGCAAGAGAGACCTTTTGGAGCAAGCCAAGATATGAGAATTCCAGCAAACAGGAAACCTGCGGGATGCCACCTCTTTGATGTATCCCACACTCTGACCGAGCAGTTCATCACCATAGTGAGTGTGTGGATCAAACTGGCTTCATTTCCACCCTTTAGTCCCTACTACATTTATTCACTGAGCAAACTCATTTAAGGTTTTCCTCACTAAAGGAGGAAAAAATGCAGCAGTCATGAAGAGACCATTCCTGTATATTCAGTTCTGGTAAGATGTGAGAAATGACTTGCAGCGAGAAGTACTTTAGCAGGTTATGTCAGGTCAACGTTGAGTTGGTTGTACTTTAATCAGGTCAGTCACAGTAGTTTGGGTCTGTCTGTTTCAAGCTTATTCCAGTTGTTTTTATTTACCAAACATTCACTTATCTGCGGACACTGGAAACATGAAGTATTTCAATCAGCAGTTTCATGTTTGTGATGTGGTGGCTGCAGTGCTCATTCATAGCAAGCCTTGTGCTAGGCTGGGCGCAGCAGCCCGAGCAAGACCTCCACCCTGGCACACGTCCTGTACGCGGCAGCTCCTGTTGCCTCGAGAGGGTTCTCGCCTTGTGCCACGGCCAGGCCTGGTTTGACAGGAGAGAAAAGATGCTGTTCAAATAGGAAAGGCAAAGCGTTAGAACAAGCAATTGTAGCCGACCGTGGTTCAGTGTGTTGAGAGAACGTGAAATGGCTGCGCTTGCTGTGTTACAAGCCTTTAGAGCAGCCTGCACTTGATTATCTGCCTCAGTAGAGGGATTAAACACTTGCTGCTGGAGTAACCCAGCTGCAGTCTAAGCTACCTGCAGGGTCCTTGCGTGTCAGCTCTCGCTCCCCAAATCCAGAAGAACTGGGTTGAAGTTGCAGTCCCTTTCTGGCATGTTTTATAGCCCATGGACTGCATTTTCAAAAGGCTGAGGATTAATTACTATTGTAGCCTATTCTAGCGTTTATCTTGTTGTGCCCATGAGCCCTGGTGCCACCCTCTGTCCTCGGCACGAAGCAGCAGCGGGGCTGTGCCGAGCACAGGCCTTGCTCCCAAAGCAATCAGGTCTGCAGCAGGGCCCTCCTTACCCTCTTGGATTCGGTCCCTGGCCCCGAGCGACAGGCTGGCCCGTGAGGCTGTGAGAAGAGGGAGTTTTTAAAGACTTTCTGGTCAGGATGGTCGGGGTGTTGTGGACTCGGTGGCTGCAGCATGTGCAGATGCTCTAGTTACTCCTGCACATTGCACTGTGCATCTTGGGCAAGAAACTCAGCTCAGTTGTCTTCAGTTCCAAGAACCCACACATGGCTCTAGCCCTGCTTTCCTATACTCCTTCTTGGGGGTCTGTGCCCACCTGGCAAGGCTGGCGTGTGTACCAGTCAACCTGAGGAAGTGTGTGCATGTCTTTCCGAGTAGTGATGCTCTTTAAGGGAAAAGTAGCAAAATGTACGAGTGGCTAAAGTTGTGTTTGTGCGGTTGTTCTATGTGTGAGCTTTGGCTGGATTTGATTTTATTTTGGACTTGCAATAGAGGTGTTGGATACCATTAGCAGTATTTTTAAAGCTCATTTAGTTCCCCAGTAGTCAAGAGTTTCTGCTAATCCTTGTTGAAGCCTTGACAGTGACATGATTTCTGACACAGGACTTAATGAGCAGGTTATTTCTCAATGCTACCAGCTGCGAATATAAGGCTGAAATGGTTAATCAAGTTATTTGAGCAGATTTCAGCAGGATTAAGAATTAACTGGACTTCACCAAGTTTTCCAGCTGAGATGCGGGACAGGGTTTTTTTTCTGCTCAGGACAGTGAGTTAACATGTAACAAGGCAGTTAATCTCATTTGGGCATAGCTTGTAACTTAAGTTGAAATGGTGCATACACAGGTACTTTCAGTGCAGAAATGGCCACAGGTCGCTGGCATAAAGGTGTTTTCCAGAGTATGTGAACTCTGTAGTGTAGAGCAAATCTTAATTTTCAGATTGCGGTGAGGCAGCCTGTTACTTCCATGAATCTGGGTTTTGTGTTCAGCCAAAGCAGGTTTGGCTGTGTGTAAGAGCCCTTCAAAACATGATGGAACATGGTGTTAGCCTCAGCAAGGCTGCACATGACAGTGCCTGTTTCAAACTGTAGATTTTGGGGTCTAGCCTGGCTGAATGGTAAGTGGTTGCAGTAGGACTGGGCCTCTGGGAGATGCTCAGGTCTGTGTTGGGCTGGATCCCCAGCTATTTAATCCTTTGAGTACTCATTCACAAAGTTTTTAAAGAAAAAAAAGGTATCTGAAATGCACTGTCTGGCAGTACTGCATTTGTCTCATTATTGCTACATGTGGACTAGAAGGGATGCAGTAGGTTTAGATATCCCCAACCAAAAGTGAAATTCAGTTCTGGGTCTGAATCTTGTATCTGAAACCCATCTCCTGGTGAATCTGAAAACACTGGCTGCTCTGTGCTGGCAGCTGAAGCTCACAAAATAAATATCTCAATATTTAATTTGAAAGTGTGGTTATGGTGAAAGGAGTGACTGTAAAAACAGCATCTCTTGCTCAATGGATATGCTCCTTCTCCATCCTTTGGATTTTTCTGCAGAAATCCTACTGATTTGCATTAAATGGTTAGTACTGTTAGTGCTGCAAAACCAGTAACACTGGTGGAAAGAGACGAATTTGACCCTGTGCATCATCTGCTGTTTTCTGGTGGAGATGTTTTATAGTTGGACAGTGAGCCAAAAGGCAGAATAAAGCAGCTTGATTTTTCCTGCAAAATGCTGAAGAACAATTTTCAGTCTTGAAATTAGAAAAATTGCCTGACGAGTGTTTAAACTAGGCCAATCCAATCCAGAATTGCCTGGGAGAGTAAATCTGAACCCCCTTCATGGCATTTTGACATCAGCCCCTTAAATAACATCGGCAAACACCAGTTTCTAGGTTGTTTTGCAGGCATAACGTTGGCATTTTTCCTTGCCTCGTGCTTCTTGTTCATTTAAAGCTATACTGATGAATTCCAAGATGATAAATAAATAAAATCATGCAAAAGTAAATTTGAGGGCTGAGCGATGGAGCAGTAAGGTTGCAGGAACAATAAAGCACGTAATTTTGAGAGATTTTTCTGTGGCATGTGGGATGTGCTAACAGTACTTTTAAATTACTTATTGGAAAAAATCTAGACTGCAGAGGAATAAATCCGCTCTTCAGATGTGGTTTTACTTTGAAAAACAACAATGTAAAAATGCTACCTTTGTGCTCCTTAGATCTTTTCCCTGTGCATATGAATCCAGAGATGTCTTCTATGTACTGCATTGCCAAAAGCAATTTTCTCCTGATTTTTTACTCCAGATACCTTTGAAGAGTCTGTGCATGTAAGGACCACTGTTTGCTTTTTTGCAGCACAAACGTTGTTGTTATTCTTGATTTTCGGTTTTAATTTCTGAAATAAAAGCAATTAAAACCTCCTTAAGCACATAAAGGTGCAGATACTTGCTTCCCGGGAATCTAACCTGCAAAATCCCTTTGGAGCCTCCCTCTGTGTTGATGTGCTTGACTATTTCCCATTCCCTTGGAGAGTCATTCACAGCCCAGCTCACGCTCCAGCCCCTGGTCGCTAATGATTAATGGTATCAAAGAGCCAGTTGTGGTAAAGGCACCTCTGATCGTTGAGCTCCATTGGTTGAAGTGGGACATGAGAGGGAAAGATCCCAGCCCGGAGCTTGGATCCGAAGCTAATTGTTTGCCTGTGTTATTTGGACAGTGGAAACCCCTGGCTCGTGAAAGGCGCAGTGAGCACCGCGGCGGTTTTGCCGGGGTTTTCCAAGCGCAGTCGCGTGCTGGACACGTGCGCGGCGCCGTCCTGGAACCCTCCCTGCGCGCCTGGAGGACGTGACGTGGCGGGAAGGGGGCCGTGCAGCCTCGGAGAAATTAAACTTGTGTGTTTTGGTACTGCTCTCAGGCACCTGATATACGTGAAATTCTAAAAGTAGAGTTAAGTATTTTGACCATTCTCCTGTGCATTAAATGAATCTTTTTTTTTATGCTGTTTAAAAGAAAGCATTTTTAAACACTTCCATGATTTGCTGAACAGTTGAAGTAATACAGAGGGTACAGAAAAATAATGATATGTCTACTAAACATTAATGACTAATCCATTACTTTATGTTTAAAGTCACAATAAAAAAAATGACTTGGAATATAGCATGTTGCTTTGTAACTGTGTTAACTCTGCTTTGCATATAAATTTCCAAAAGCTGAACAAGATCTTCAAGAAGCAGCAGCTTCATAATGATAACAATGTATCTGTGAGCCAGTGGTAAAAGACTTCTTTAATGTGACTATTTTTTTCTCTTCCCTAGGTGTGTATATGTGTTCATAATATCTCTTTTTATTTTTTCTAGGCACCAGAAACAGATGTGCAGTTTGGCCCTATGAGACTTCATCAAGATCAACTTCAGGTAATACATTGCACAGTTTAAACTGAAGTCCTAATTTCTAAAACAACATAGAAGTTAACTTTAAAAAATGTGACTGTCCTCCAAAATGTACACCAAATATCTCAAGTGATAAAATTAGAGCTATCTACTGCGCTTTCCACTATCACTTAGTTTGTCATCAATTTAATGTTGCCATGTTTTGTATCATAGAGGTAGTCATTTCTCAGAATCCCATATCATACCAAGGCAAATGTCCTGTCAAAGTCTATTACATCGTTGTAGTTACTATTATCACCAATTTTGCAATATCATCATAAAAGATATTGTGAACTTGGAAAAGTATGATTTTTTTTTCATTGTTGACTCACATCCTCCTTTATCTCTTTATTAATAAAGGCTTTATGACAGTTGTCCCCTTACTTTGTCTGTGATAGGTGTCAGGTTTGTACATACACAACTCCTTTGAGCAGCCTCTGAAAACTCTCTTACATCCCAAGCAATACTGAGCCATTAGCAGTCCAGGCTGTGCTTGAGTCACTAATTCCCCTCTTGGATGAAACTCTTGAGTGGAAATTATCTGGTCCTGCTGATTTTAAATCTTGAAGATTTATCTTGAACAGCAATTCAACATCCTCCTGAACTATTGCCAGAATAGACAGTATTACATACCATCAAACATTGTGTCTTAAGATACATTTCATCCAAATTTTCTCCAGTTATAAATCAGAAATATTTCTTGAATATTTCTGCCTCTGTTATCATTATTAATGGTGTTACTGTTTTTGTCCACTCACAGCCCACTCTCAAATCCTACTAATTAAGCCTCTGCTGGCAAGGCTGCGGGAAGTAGTAGTTAGGTAACACGACATTCATGCCAAAGTCGATCATCCAGCCCAGACCTGCTGACTGTTCTGTGCTATTGCTGAAAACCATTCTTCCACTCTTAAGAGTGTTATAAATTAACTTTACTAAATATAGCCCAAACTATGATATGTTTTTGCAAACAGTTTAGCAGGTTGCTATAAAAGGAATCTGAACTAAATGGGTAGAAAGTCCTTCGTTCTTACAAAAATATTCACTACATGGAAACATTAAGATTTACTGGTAGACATTCCACCAACCTGGTCCAAACTGTAACCAGCACTGGCATTCCTAAAATTATCCTGAAGATAAACGGCCGTGGGATGTGGCATGAGTTACGCATGCTCTGCATTATTGTCTGACCAAAATATATGTCTAAGTGGTATGATTAAATTACTGAAAGTTTGGTGTCATGAGACAATAGGCCAAATGCTGATTTAATTATCTGTCTTTCCCAATACACTGCATATACTGACTCATCTACAAGCAGCATTAACATAGATCTATATTCTGCCGTTCTGACTTTTCTTTCAGACAAAAGAAATTTTCTTCCATAAAATATTACCCTGATGAAAAGTATGGTCACTTCAGTGGAAGTCTTCATCAGCAGACTTTACATTCATCCTTCTTTCTCTAGCACACTCTGTTCTAGAATTTGAAACTTTGCAGAAGAAATTGGGCTGTGTCGTATTTTGGGGCATATGTATGCATTGTGCTGATTTTAAATAGACAAAGATTCACGTGACTAGCAATTACACAGCAAGTTATAGCAGAGCAAATACTGGGTTATAGATCTCTGACTTCCAAATCCATTTTAACAATAGCAGTCACCATCTGTGGTATAAATCCCATGGCAAGCTTTCATTCTGGCATGAGTTCATCTTGTCCAGCCTGTCTGTAGTCCCCAGAAGCCTCAGGGGAATGGGCTCGAATGGGTAGTATTTGGGGGAACTAGAATGACATGCAAAGGAAAGGACACTTTGTGCCATTGAAGCACTATTAAAAATTAATTCATGTGAAGTTAATCATGCTTTGGTGAGTATTGCAGGGGGCTGTGCTGGAATAGGATTCTGACGAGAAGAAAAGCCAAACAAAAATGGTAGACAATTTCAGTGGAGAAACATGGACTTTCTGTTATTTTTTACACACAGTTTGAAGCATAGACATCTAATCTTAACTGATTGCCTGAGCTATCTCAGTAGATAATGGAGAGAGATCTACTTCCCAAAGCTCTTCATCCCCTTTGGGTATAAATGGTTCAGGCAGAATATTTTGTTCCCTTGAAACACCTCTGTATAGAGGCCATTATATAAAGCAGTAGTCTGTGGAAAGCAAGTCTGTTAAAAACTGAGTTAAGCCTTGTAAGTAGCTTTCACAAAAATGTTAAGAACAGACAAAATCATAGAATCTACTATATAAATAAAACTTGTTAGTAATGATTCACTGTTTGCCTTGAACCAGGTACTTTTAGTGTTTGCCAAAGAAGATAACCAGAGTAATGGGTTCTGCTGGGCATGTGAGAAAGCTGGATTTCGGTGTAATATTGCCAGGACCCCTGAATCTGCACTAGAATGTTTTCTGGAGAAACACCATGAAATTATCATTATTGACCATAGACATTCCAGATACTTTGATGCAGAATCATTATGCAGGTAAGTGCCATTTTGGTGTAATTAATAAGCTTATATAGTTAACACATCATGAAAGGTCTGTTGCTTTTATATGACCTTTTCTATAAATAATAGAATACAGATTTTTGGGCGCTAGAATGTTTCAGGCTGTATGTATGGTACTGTTGAACCTCAGCATACAAATTTGTTGCCATAATTTTTTTCAAATACCTGTTCCATGTTAACATATCTAATTATCTGTGAAGATCAAATGTGCTATGAAACAGTTTCATGAATACATTCCCTTTGTTAGCTCTTTGCATTCTGAATTTTTGGAAATTTGTCTTGCTATTGAATAACTCCAGATTCAAATGGCAGTATTTTGCGTTCACACTTCTGTGTCTACAGCATTCAGATATCTGCTATAAAGAGCCAAGTTGCAAACTGACTCCAAAAATGCTTGCAGCATTGCTGGAAAGTATGAAAAAGGGGGAAAGGATTTTTTTTATTATTATTATTTTATTTTTTTGCCTCTCCACAAAGACTTGACGGGGAGTGGAGCCTCCTTTCGATGACTTTCCAGTGAAATATCCCCTGGGAATGTGTCTAGACTAAATAGCAGGCTGTGGGGTGGGGGCGGATTATGTGCTGTGGGTGACTGGTGGGTTCAGGGCACTGGGACAAAGGCTTTCTCCTTGTTAAAATAAAGTAGTAAGATAAGATCTTTGTCAGGCAAGGACTAGATAGCAGTGTTCCTCCTGTTACATTTTTACCACGCTGTCCCAGAATGAAGTAAAACGCTGTTAACCAAGTGAGGCCAAGTCCTTCAAATGAGTCCTCTGCTGCTCATGCAATGTCAGAGTGAGCTTTGGGCTGTTGCAGAGAGGAGGAATTTTTCTATTTCCCCACTGAGAATAGTTAAAATTTAGATTAATATGCACTCCTCTGCCCCCTTTTTTTCCCCATTGAGTCTCAGACATTGCTAAATTAATTCTTCTCTCTTAGTGATCCAGCAGGCTTGAGGTTTGAGTTTTGTTTTGTATTAAAGCATTTAAAAGAGAAATCTTTTTTTTGATGTGATATCGTATGAAGATTCTGCAAAGTCATGATTGCTGAAATGTGAACTTAAAAAATGCTAAATTATCTTTTTTTATTTAAAGGTCTATCAGAGCAACTAAACCCTCAGAAAATACAGTCATTATTGGTGTAGTTCGAAGGTAAATATTCACATCTTTACTTGCACATGTGATCAATAAAGCATGAACTTTATCACTGTAAAAGCAAATATTATATTAGAAATTTCATATTAACGTCTCTTACAGTGCTGATGATATGTTCATGCCGTGTATATTTTCACCATCCATGGCCACAGGACAGGGACAGGATTTTTGATTTCTACTTTTTATCAAATAGGTCACACTTTGCTTTTTCTTTTTTCCTACTTATCGTTGGAAATTTTAAGAGCATGATTCAAGCAACCTCAACAGCATCATGTTCTGACCTGTGGAACTGCCTCATAGATTTATATTTTGGCCTTCTTGGAAATAACTCTCTGAACCTTTCTGGGTTTGTGTCTCAATCTGATTCATCCAAGCACAAATAGATCTGTTGATTCACAAAAGAATATGGTACAATTTTATCAGTATTAAGTAGCACCTGACCATACAGGTTTTTAAAATGAAGTCAAATAAACTATATTACAACATGTCAGTAGAACACTTCATGTTTTTCTTCTTCCTGCTCCCACTAAAAACGTAACCTTTACATCATAAAATACTATAAATGTGTTAAAGTTAGCTTGGAATGAAATAAAATAATTCAAAACAATTTCCTCATGGGACAGTTTTCAAAATTTCTGTTTCTCAGAGAAAAATAAGAGAAGAAAGCCGATTCTGAGGTGTTAAAATTTCTCTTTAAAAATCTTATTTTCCGCTACTGTCCATAGCATATGAATGACCATTGCATATGAATTAAACATTTCAAAATTTCATAGCGTATGAATTAAACATTTCAAGAAATTCCATTGGGAATATAATCTTTATTGTGTCAGAAAGTCTTATGACTAAGGTAACCGCTACTTCCAGAGCCAGAATTGCCTCTCACTAAAGTAATACAAAAAGCCAGAGGGCCGTATTAGCTATCTTGAGATAGCATTTCCCTTCTGGCTGCAAGAAGTGTATTTGTGGAAAAGCCTAACGTTTAGCTAACAGCATGTGGAGGTTCCCCTGTGGTGGTTATCTTCCTTCATTTCCTGCTCTTCAGTGTGTTTGGGCCTTTTGTTCCCTGACAGTATCCTCTGTGTCCTCTGTACTTTTAGGAGGCAGCATTACCAGATAGTTGACATGAGGAATGGGGATACTTTTCTGACAGCTGCCCTTGTCTCCCCTCTTGATCTTGGGCAAACGTTGTGCTTGTCTAAGCAGTGGCCTCTTAATGCATGAGGAAAAAAAATATGGAAAACAAAAACAAGAGGTGTCATAAGATCTGAAAATTAAGGTAAAAGTATATAAAAGCTATTGTGCCACCTGCCAGGATTGACCAGCTTCCACCTGCTTATTTATAGAAATTTAATAAAATTACCTTGTTCCAGGTCCCATCCATACATTCACATATGCTGGAGTGTCTTCTAACAATTGGAATAGCCAAGTTTGTCAGGTACCTTGTTTTAGCAAGTATCATCACAAAGTGGCCTAATAGAAAGCACCGGGTCAGCAGTAGAAATTCCATCCTCATTCAAGATCCAGAGTTGCCCACCTAAGATTCGGTGTGCTCGGATAACCTTGGTTGTGGAGACTTTGAAGTGCTGCATCTCTAACTAGGGACAACGTAACAAAGAATCCAATACAGAAAAGGAAAGAATAGTTCAGCAGTCTAGCTAATTATTTTTTCTTCAAGTGTTACTACGTTTTGTGATGCAAGATGCTGACTACTTGAAAAAAAAAAAAGTAATAAAAGTAAGGGTTTTTTTAAAAAATAAAAAAAAGAATAAATTATCCATAGTAGCAATATTGTGTGGTATATTTCTTTGATCCTAAAAGGATATAGCTATATGAGCCTATAGTATGCTTCCTGCCTACAGGAATGTTAATTGCTTGTGAAATTGATGCTGAGCTGATTATAAAATAATTTTATTATCCTTTAACAGGCACAGCGATCGCGAAGAGTCAATAATGCCCCTGATCAATGCTGGCTTCACAAGGGTGCGTATGTTTTGTAATCCACTAGATTGCTCTAATATTGCTGAATTTTCAGGCAAGAAGCTCAGAAGTTTAGCTGTCGGTGATCATTTGTGCCAATAGTCAAATCCGTAAATCTTCTTGTTTATGCTGTTTGTTGTTACCTAGTTCTCAGTTTTTTACACCGGTAGAAATAGAGTAATGCTGACTAAGACAGAGGTTCTCAGGAATATAAGAAGTCTTATTCAGATATTTCTACATTACATATTTATTTCAAAAGACGTATCTGATGCATTAAGTGTCTGCTTTAAAAAGAGATAGTAGATAGGTATGATAGCAGAGCAAACGGTAGACTGCAGTGAACAACAGAATGTGCTGTGGGAAATCTCTTCCATCAAAAGCTCATTCATGTCTGTATACAGGCTTCAGACCTCGTCAAATGCTGCTATAAAACAGCAAAATGCTGTGTAGAGTCACCTGGAAAGTGTTAAAATTGAGTCTGTTCCTTGGCAACTATTCCAATTAAGCAGGAAAGGTGCTTATTAGAGCGTCAGTTAAGTGGGTTCCTCATTGCATTGAGCTGACAATGGAAAAAAAGTTCATGATTTACAGTGTGATTCAGAGCCATCGCAGTCTATTTGCGACTATCTGCTTATTTGTAGTAAGATCCTAAGGCAGGAAATGCTAAAGGCTGAAAATAACTGCACTTACATGTAAAGAGTTGTTTCAGTGGGCACATAACTAAATAACTGTCCTTGGCAGTGTAGCATGAACAAAGACTTAACGTGCAGGTTAATTCCTAGTAGAAATTAGATGTTTCAGAAGAATATCTGAGAAGGTGCTGAGGTCAGTGCTGCTGAGCTTCTTATACAAGGCCCAGAATTAACAACTGTCCCATGGCAAATATACTTGTTGGAAGCTTTGCCACCTTCTGTCTGTGCCACTTGGAGTATGAGCAATTTGAAACTCATAAAGATAACAGATTTGATGACTTGAGACAAATATGACTTTTAATTGTTGTGAAAGCTTTGTTCACAGTGGTGTGTCATATATTGATCATGCTGACTGTTGCAAAAACTCAACAGATTGGTTGCACCCTGTTGCTATGCCTTTTTTGTCAGTTTTTCCAAATGTAGTACCTTGAGGACTTTTCTTGAAGACCCAGTTAATAACCTCACACGGCTTGCTCTACAAAATGTTATTTTTTGGCATATCTACTATATTTTGGTTATCTAACACGCAAAAGAAAACAGCCTCATACACTTGTGAGCAGAAATGTGTGTTAATGAACATCTCTAACCTTTTATTTGCAGCGATATGTAGAAAATTCTAATGCAATGGCCTGTTACAATGAGCTGATTCAGCTGGAACATGGAGAGGTGCGGGCACAATTCAAACTGAGGTAATTTTACCAAAAATATCAACATTATAAATGCAAAATCAGCCACATGCTTAAAATAATATTTCTTTTGCTGTACACTAGTTAATTATAAAATGTTCATTAGCAAAAGTAGTATGTTAGTCATTAAAGTACTTCTGTATTTAGAATGGAGTTGAAATAACTTGTTATCATATACAGGAGGAATTATGTGGATTCAATCTGATCAGATGTCTTTTCTACAGGGCTTGTAATTCATTATTTACAGCATTAGAAAAAAGTCAAGAAGCCATTGAGATCACAAGTGAAGACCATGTAATACAGGTTTGTTCGGGTTATTTTTATAAGTAGAGAAAATTGCTCTGTGGGCTGACTATTTCATCCACAATTACACTTACTGTTTTTTTATGGTACAAGAATTGAACCTAACCTAATGGTTTTAAAGCGATTAGAATGAATTTAGGTAGAGTAGAATTTCTTCCATTTAAAATATCTTGCCTAAACCAAGCCAATTTTAAAGAAGAATGTTTTCTCTGGAACAATAAGAATTTACCCTCTTTTTTGTTTTGTTTTGTTCATTTGTTTTTGTAATTATTCTTTTATAACATGGATGAATGCAGCCACTGGCTTGCATGCATTCTTCTGCAAAGATAGTATGTGGTAATTTGATGTTCTTCAAAACCAAATCAAATTGGTGCTCTATTTAAATAAAAGTAGGACACAGTTTTTGTATTAATCTGATACTGTTTGATTCATCGTGTTTATTGGGCCAACTGTTTTAACATGTTGTCCTCTTTTACAAATTTCATTTAAAAGGCAAAATAAACTATGTTTTCAGTCCTGAAAAACACCATCTTTATTAGGGAGCTGGTTCCATTCCTAGCTGCAAAGACTGTGAGGAGTGACTTTATCCTGGCAGTGACAATTTCTGCAAAGGCTGTGCCTCCTACATCCCTTTTTAAAAAATAATGTAGCTTGTCCTGAAGGTGTTTGGAACTACGTATTTTTTTAGACCAAATTTTGCCCTTCCATAGGTAGCTCAAGAATAAAACCAAGGTGTGGAAGAGTCCTGGAGCAGGCAGGGATTTCTTCCTTCGTAGACTAGACAGGAGATTTGAGGAGTAGAGAGCATCCAGTGACACCCTTTTCATTCTGTCACATTGAAACATTACGAGTGGGTGCATTCAGATGTTACAGGATCCCTGTCTGTGACTCTGCTGGTGAGAGGTCATTAAGGTGTAGGATACAGGTACCAGCATTAAGCTTTGTAGGGCAGGAGCCACAAAATTGTGCTGAACTACAATATTCTACTTGGCTGGGCTGGGCCTGGACAGGGGAGTGGGGCCTGGTATGCAGGAAGATAAAGAATTGATCAGTGGTTAAGGCTAATGTTCCTGTGGAATCCCAGCATCTAAGCTGTGTTTGTTAGGAACAGAGGTAGGCTTGAGGTGTGCACGTTGGGGAAGTTCCAGAGCTCATTTCTCAGGAGTTCATGTTGTCTGTCATAACTCTGTGAGTGTCTAATACCCAGATTTTTCTATACTTTCCTTCTCTTTGCTCACATGCACAGACTCTGCAGGAGTGCTAGCATTTCTGTTTTTGCTTTGCAAATGAAGATCACTTAGGCGTCTCTCTTAGAAGCAATATATACAGAGATTTAGCTCAGACTGGGAAACAGATCTCTGGGTGTACCAAGTAGGAAATTCAGTTGTACTTGAAGTATTCTGTTGAATGTTTCTTGTTTTCATTTCACAGTACCTCAATCCTGCATTTGAAACAGTGATGGGCTATCAAATAGGTGAATTAATAGGAAAGGAATTAACAGAAGTGCCTGTAAATGAAAAAAAAGCTGATTTCCTAGACACTATTAATTCCTGCATAAAGATAGGAAAGGTGAGTAATAGTATTATCTATTTCACTTACAATTTGCTACCTGTAAAAGTTAATGTTTTCCAGGGGTGACATGTGACATAACTGACTTCACAGGTGTGTGGCACATGCAACTCTCTTACCTAAGCAAGAGGAAATCAAAAATGGTTGTTTTCAAGGACTCCTTGAAATGAGTGCCTTACTGTGTTTCTTTATCACATGCTCTATGTTGCAAAAGGTGTGGGGATATTAAGGAAAATGGGAAATTACAGTATATCCAGTGAGGTGCAAATGAGAAATGAATCACTTAGGAATATTTCAATATGAAATGTGGAAGCTGATTTGCGTGTTCAGATTGTAAAAGCACCAGAGGAGACATTTGCAATGTCATTGGGAGTGGTGGGCAGTGTCGCTCCAACGTCTTGTACTGTTTAATGGCACGGGAGCTCTCTAATGGGTGTCCCTTAGGAGCGTTTGCTGCACCCAGGAAGCGCAGCTGGCTTTGAGGGGTGTCATTGCAGAGGCCCTGCCGCTGACCTGGCCTCTGTGACGTCCCTTTGGGAGCGTTGGCGTGGCACCAGCGTGAGGGTGTATCTAGGAGCTCCCATTTCCATCTTGGCAACAGAGTATAAATGCTCCTGATGTCACCAAATGTATGTGTCATCGTACCCCTATAGGAAGATGGATTATGGAGGTGGCACAGAGAGATGTGGGAATTGGTGGCTTTGCAGATGCGTCATGGCCTGTGCTCAGGCCTGAGTCAGGGCAGCTAATTGGGCCGTCCTGCCTGTCTGCTGGGAAGCACCACGGTACTGACACGGCGCGGGGAGACGCTCGCATGAATCACGGCGCTGGCGCAGCCGGGCAGGGGCGCGAGAGCAGCGGTGCGGAGCCGGGATGAGTCACGGCGAGCTCTCACGCGAGCGCTCAGAGCCGGGGGCAGCGGGTGCGCGTTCCAACGCGGGTGCGTCGGGCACTCGCGCCTGTATCGGCCTCCTGGAAGAGACCCATCGCTTGGGTTCTGATGCCCCACACCTCTGGTGCCTGACTGAAATATGTAGCTAACATGAGGATGGAGTGCTTATTAAGTTATAATTCAAATACGTTGCACACGTCAGACTTTAAAACCACAACATCAATTCTCAAGATATGAAGTGATCAAATTTTTGGTACTTTTTGTGTGCTGATAAATTGTCTTTAATAGTGATGAAGTGTCTTACTCTATGAATGATAGAAATTAAGCCTAATCCATCACTTCCCTTGTACCATATTTTATCCCTGGCTTTAGGACTTCCAACTGCGAAGGCAAAAGAAATATTGCTTAAAAGCTGCCTGTCTAGAGCAGCTTGAACTGTTTTAATTGGACAGTTCTATTTACATATTGTTTTTATTTACCATTGAAACATTTTGTAGTATGCAATCTGTGTAGCCTCATTTATATACTGATGTGCCAAATAACAAAAATAATGAAAAGTAGGTTTTTTAATGTGACCTTTGGAAAGTCTGCATCTATTCCTGAAGTAAAATTTAGGAAGATGAACTGTTGCAGTATTTTCCTTCTTGTGCTGGCAGAGATGCAAACAAGAGTTAACAGACATTATACACCAAAATTACTAACTGGAGGGAGCACAGCGATGCTTGGCTCTGAATGTTCTTTCTCTTGGCCAAAAAAACAAACAAAAAAAATTAAAACCTCTGCAAGTTCACTTTTTGTTACTGTGGCTGGCTAAAATTTGCAAGAAGCCAGAATTACTGAAAGGCATTTTCACTAATCCATACGTGAGGAGTTAAGAAACGGATTGTACTTTCTTCATGCATTTGTTTCTTGATTCAAATCACATCCGTTACGATGAATTGTGCCACTCTGTTTCTCTCCGGCTAGAATTCTGGCTGCCTCTGATCTCTGCATCTTGACACAAAGCTCTTCATCACAGTCCCGCTTCTTCTGAAGTGAGACAGATAGCTCTGGATAAATCAGACGAGCCGCACGCTTCCTCTCGCTCCTTGGGAACTATCTGCGAGACAGATATCTTTATAGAGGGGGTGGGAGAGCAATCGAGCTCTGTGGTAACGCGCTGTGGCAATTCCTGCCCAGACTCCAAGCTCCTTTCTGTGAGATTGTCTCCCTGACGTGCTCTATCTCTCTTCATTTGCTCTGTTGTCTGGAAGTAGCTCGCTGGACTTTGCTGTCTAGTGCAAGAAGCCCCAAATCTCCAAGGAAGGCTGAACTGGGGTGTTCCTTACTCTGCGCAAATGGATCACGCCAGTGGGTAGATGAATGCCACAAGCTGCTGAGCGAAGTCTTTAACCTCAGTGTTAATTTCTGGGATGCTGTATAAAGCCTGGAAGATTTTATTTTACTGTCTGTGCATGGTTCTCAATCTGCGTTTGATCCTAGCACACCAGCTCATGTAGAAGAGCCTGAGCACTTTTGTGTGTGGCTGCAATTTAGTCATAAAAATGAGCTTGAGTGAAGACATGTCTTGCGAGGTAGCTTGTCTCTGCTGGGTTTCTGACAAGGCTCTGTGAGAGAGCATATGGTGTTCTTAAAATACGTTCAAGTAATGTCCCTGTGAGAACTTTATATACCAGCAGGAGTTTGGCTTGGGCCTCCTGTTTTCTCGAATTCTGCTGACCTTTTTCCTCACACATTTCCTGCCACAGTTTCACAGGTTTTAGAAATTCACAAGTTGAGAAGTCTGTCTGTTGACTGTGGGAAGGCATCAGTGAATAGCTGCAACCTGCCTTGAGCAGGATGCACCTCCAGCGCTGGAATTATCCAGCACCACCTTAGGACTTCATGCCTGGGTGCATGACCCCCATTTATCACCTGCCTGCAGAGATCGATTACTCATCTCTGCCTCATCCTGGTTAGCAGGAAACTATTGATACGCGTGTTTTTAATTATGAGAGCATCGGAATTTGTGATGTTTGCTTTGTCCTCATTTATATTCCTCATGCAGCTCACTGGAGGAGATGTTATGTCTGTTTCTGAATTTGCTATGCACAGCCCTTTCCTCTGACAGATCCTTGGAAAAGCCTTCCGTATTTTTTTCTGCACAGCCTGTCACCACACAGCTCTTTGTGGGCTGCAGTCTTTGTTTGTTGGCTCCGTTGGAATAAATGCAAACCTGTTCCCTCTGTACCTGTGCTTTCGCCTGCTTGACTGTGAGATCTGTCAGTCTGGCACAGACGTATCTGTGGCATGTGCCTCAAGAAGGTGTTTTCACATGTGCTAAAAGTTCTCATCCAAAGCTCGCTGAACTCAACTGAAAGACAATAATTTACTTGGTTAAACTTTGCATTAAGTGTGTATGTAATATAGCATCAATTAATTATTAATCATTTGGTGCTTACTAGATGCTCAGATCAAAATCTGCAGCCATTTGAAAAGCACCCCCACAACTCTGCATCTTTAGGGATGGAGATCTGTGCAGGCCAGGCTGAGGGTGCAGAGAGCAGCTCGGTGGGGAGGCCGCAGGCGGCCGGGAATGCAACGAGGCGACCTAGGGAGGCTTCCCAAAGGCGCCTCCCCCGAGGTGTCCCGTAGCGGGGCGGCTCCTGACCGCGCTCTGCGTGCCCAGGGTGCTCCTGGCTTAGCATCAGCAACATGACAGTTAACCATCACTAACTAGTCCCCTCGTTGCAAGGGCGCAGTCTGAGCATTAGCACCGTTTACGGGGTCCCAACCCTCTCCCGTGCTGCCGCAGTCCCCCCTTCCCCACGCGGCCAGCAGCGCTGCCGCTCGGGAACGCAGCCCGGCGCCTGTCGCACCCACAACTGGAAGGACAACTGTTCTGTGCAAGAACAACGGTGCATTTCTCAAATGTTCTGCTGCTCCTTGTAGAGTGTTTGGAGTTTAAATGATTTGGTTTTATAAATAAAATGCCAGGTTAGGAGGAAGACATTTCTGAAGAAGTCTGTAGAGATCTCTAATTGCATTGAGGTAACACCTGCACCAGCATCACCTTCACTGCATTGCTGTTTTTTATCATGTGGTCCTCTGATATGTTCCTTGCCTTTGAGACCCTTAAGGGTAAATGTTAGATTTTGTATCATAAAGCAATGTTCAAAGAAAAAACATAGCAAGCTGCAGTTTTATTTCTATTTTATCTGACCATTCTGAGGATGCCAAATGAAGAACGTATAGAAACCCATGCTGAGTTTGTTGATTGCATTTTGAACTTCCTTCCTCTTGTATTTCTTTTGCAGGAATGGCAAGGAATGTACTATGTGAAAAAGAAAAACGGAGACAGCGTACAGCAAAATGTGAAGATAATCCCTGTCATCGGACAGGGCGGGTAAGTGCGAGAGCTAAAGCTGTGACCTAGATTTGATTCAAGGCTCAGTTTGGTTCAGCTGCTTTCAGCAGGCATTGGATTATCCTGTTACTGAGTTTAAGGAAATTTTATGCAAAGAAGGGAGACTTAGACCTCTGGATTTAATTCCTTGGGACAAAATCAACTGTACATGCTGTTTCCAAGGAATTCTGCTAATCTGCTTCAAAAAGGAAGCCAAAGATATAGAGGTGCTCACCCATGACTACTATTCTTCTAATTCTGTTCTTCGCCATCATATCAACCTGTGTCCTGCCCCACTGTTGCCCTGCAATGGGGCCCTACTCAAGGCTGTTGTCTCTTTCTGTGATGAGGTTACTAGGTGCTTTCATCCTTGTCAAAATTCATCTGCAAAGATCTCATCCTATTTAAGCATGTATTGATTTTTGTGCAGTTTTCACTTGGCCCCTGAACAGAGCATTTAGAGCACACTGGAATACATTAGTTATGGGTAGATTTATAATAAGACCTCCTGAAAGAGAGTGGATCAGCTTGCATGCAGTTGGAGTTCCAAAACCCTCCAAGGCAACACATGCATTAATTAAAAGAACTGCCCTTTATCTTCCAGAATCCCCTCTACAGTGTATGTTCCTCTGCTGCAACGTTTGTTTAGAAAGGTGTCGTATCACGAGGGAAGACCTGAATGTGGCTGTTTACATACTTTAAGAGGAGGGAATGCAGTTTTTAATTAGCAGAAGTGTGGTGTTTTAAGTTGATTTAATCCCTTGGAAGGAACTCATGTTCTCTACTCTCCATTAGTATAGTGAAAACATATTTTTAACTTAAGATGCCAAACTAGTAAGAGCAGTATGTATTACATGCATTGTTGCTTGGGGAGAAATCTAAGTCCATTTGAAGCTGACCTAGAAAGTTTTCTGGTGATCAAGGCTGCAGTTTGCAATCTGACTGCTCTGTCATTAAACCCTGTTGAAGGTTTTGACTATTCACTCTGCACTGTTGCATATTTCTCAGTTATATCATACCTGAAATCCTGAAACATCCTTGAGTAGCCCAGGAGAAGACGGAGGGATGGAAGGGGTGAAGAAAGAGGAAGGAACAGTCTTTGCCAAAAAATACCCAAACTTCCAATTCTGTATTCCCCATCCTGTGTAGCAGAACTGTGTGTTTTTGTTGTTTGGGCGGGGAGGTTATTTGTTTTTTTTTCATTCCCTATCGAGCCTTCCTGCCAGAACAGGGTTTGTCCTGTATTGATTTGTTGTTATCCCCCGTTTTGTGTATCAGCACTGAATCAGAGCTGGGATTTAAATGGGAATTAACACATTGTTTTTTTGCCTACAGAAAGATTAGACACTATGTGTCAATTAGTAGACTGTGCAATGACAACAATAAGGTAAGTGAACATAATGATACACTTCTTTTAGTTTGAGCCCTAAATATTACAAAGTAATGGGAAAATTCTAACTAACTGAATTTCTCATACCGATTTGTAGGCAGAAAAAACATGTGAACGCGTTCAGGCTGAATCTCAGACAGGTAATGCACATCTCTTTGGTCATAAGAAGTGGAGAGCATGCCCACAGAAAGATGAAGCCAGTTGCTAGTGATCTGGCTGAAAACCACTGGTTGCTCCAGACACTCAGAAAATAATAGTTAGCAATAAACTAGGAATCCAGTTTGGAAGGCAGCAAAATAGATGCAAGTTCTCTTGATTTGTTTTAGAAGTGAGTGATATAAAACAACTGAATCTTGAAAATGCAGTGCTAGGGCTCTGAGTTCATATTGTGCTGGGTTCAGTGTCACAGTTCAGTTGTACATAATGGATCCTTGCGATAAAATTAAAAATATTAAGCACACCATCTATTAAGAATGTTTTCAAAGCTGGTCTATAGCTAGTAGCAGGTATATTTGCACTGGTTGTAACAGTACTGTGGGATATGTGCCTGGGGGAAGAAATGAGGACTCTATTTGCTCCCCTCTGGGGAAAAAAGAAAAAAAAAGCAACGCTTTGGTTGTCTTTGCCAGAGATTATCAACGGGTTTGTGACAGTGTCAGTGGGCAAGAATTTCAGAAGGAGCCTTCACTGGCTCTCATTTGCTGAAGTGCTGTGGGGAATGTCCCTCAGCGGCTGCCAGCCTTTCTCTGACTGTCTCCTTTAACATTCCCATTAGGCCGGGGTTATGTCATTGTACAATATCGTTTCTCCACAGATATTCAGACTTGCAGACATAAAGACAGGAGGAAAGGATCACTAGATGTGAGATCCACAACCTCTCGAGGGAGTGATGGTATGTTAAATTAGTAGTTTAGTTATTATTATTTATATGTATACGTACATATGCACATGTGTGTATATATATATCTATAAGATTAAGTACGTGTGTGTGTGTATATATACATATGCTGCTGTAATTTCAAGTCTCCAGTCCATGGATGACTTTACATTTCTGGAACAACCCCATTGTATCTCATGAAATTGGATTTTTTTTTTCAAATAGCAAAGGGTAGAAGACATCAGCTAGTATCCTGCATGGGTCATTTCATGAGATTCAACTTTCATGAGATACTTCATACTTGAAAGTATCAAATACAAGTATCAAGTAGAAATGGCAGGTTTTAATCCTGACAAAATATTACATTCTTTAACACTTTCTTTTCTCAATAAGGATTTCAAGTTAATTTTCTTACCGTGTTTGTTCTGTTTTCATTGTGTTGTACTGTGCTTCCTTTCATCATCTCAAACTAGACAGATGAGTTGCATATGGGAAACTTCTGTCAATACTTGCATGGTTTTGTTAAAGTATAGCTCAGTACAGTCTAGGCAGCAGGCACTGGTGCAAAGCAGAAATGGGTCTGTAGCAATAGTTGTCTCCAAGTATGACAAAAGCAGGAGTGAGAGAGTTGTGTCTGAACATAGCTGTTCAGAAAAATCCATTGGCTTTTCCTGTACAAAAACTAAATTGCTAAATGATGCAAAATGTTTGTTTTTCAATTTCCAACAAATAATAGGCTAGAACCGCTGCTGTTTTAATTGGCATAGCTGTGTCACTTCAAAGGATCTTCACTGATTTACCTCAGCCTAGAAGGTGACTCACTTATGACTTGTCATGTTGGTGCATTATCTAGCAAAATTGTATATATCCTACAAAAAATGAAGTATAACTGTTATTTAAATATATATATATATATATATATATA